TGGTTTAGATCTCTTTTTCTTTTCTTCTCCCCTGCTTCTACCCTAACTCCCTGCAGCACATACTGTGGACTGAGCAGCTTACACTGCAACGCACAGGACAGATGGCAAAACCCAGAGAGGTTATCCTGCACAGTGATGAGTTTACTCAGGGGCTGGCCATCTTATACCATTTCCTCCTACGTCTCTCGAGCGCCTGCTCTGAGCATCCGGGGCAGACACAGGATGCTGGTGGGTGTGAGAAAAGGCCTCACGGATGACTAGCCTTGTCCTGATGGGTATGTGTGTGTCACCCTTTAGCACTAACTCCAGGCTTAAGGGCAGGTTCCTTTTTGGCTGGGTTTTTCCATGTTTACTGTAGTTACAGGGCAACATTTACAAACAGAGAGTTACACAGTGATTTTAAAGAGGCACAGCCTATTGCTAAGGTTGCACTTTCCACCACCAGACACCTCTCAGATTTTCTTACAACACTTCAGCCACTCACTCTGAAATTGCCCGTGCTGCTGGGAAGCTTCCCACGCTGTTCTGCAGGCCCTCTGGAAACAGGGATTTGCAGTCACCATCCCATAGTACACACATGCAGATGGAGAAAATGGTCTTCAGTGCACAAAGACAACCTGAATTCTGTCAGGTCCTCATGGTGAGTTATTTCTTAAGAAAATAAACTAGAGCCTGGAGAACTATCACGACCCCTTGCCTTGGGTCACCAACAGTTTTGAGCCATGAAGCTCTTACTACTTGATCAACAGCTAGCCCCAGGCTCTCCTCCTAAGGACCAGCCACCAGACGGGGGGTGTGGGGGGGTGACACTATACACTTAGGCCATAACTTTCTCTATTATCTGCTGACTCCAGAGAAGATAAATATGGAACAATTTTCCTTCCCTTGCTGTGGCAAGGGAAGGAAAATCTCTGGATCCCAACACCCATTCCCATGCTGTGTGGGTCTCTCCTCTCTCCCACAAGCCCTTTTCTACCCAGTCCAGCCCATCGCCTCTTCCCATCTCCTACAGTTCTGCCATCCCTGTCCTCTTCCTCTGCACACCCTTTTGGACCCCGACCAAGATGCTCCCTACTCTTCTCCCTGCAAAGCACAGACCTGGAGGTCTACGAACTAAAAGCAATGGGCAACAACAGAGCTGGGGCTGTGTCCTGACAGAGCATCATCTACCTTATCCGTAACATCTTCCAGGGAAGGAGGTTTCCTAACCTCCCTAGGTGGTCTTGCGACAGTTTCATGATGATAACAGGATGTTTTCTCAACATCCAGCCTAAATCATCCTGGCAAATTAGCAAATCAGTAAATTAAGCTGCCATGGAAATCTGGGACTTTAATAACCACTATTACATGTTGGCAGCATGCGAGATTGCACAATAGTTTTCTTTTTGTTGCACTGAATAAATTTAATTCTTTCAACCTCTTCTCAGGTTTCTTAATCTTCATGTTTTTCCTTCTGAACACTTTCCAGTATATGTCTGTGTCCTCCTTGGAAGAGGGCACCCAACCCATGGTGCCACACACAAGTAAGTCACCTCCTGCACCTTATGGAGGACACTCCTTCAATATAAATCAAAACAAGATTTACGTCTTTTGCAATAGCCTCTTGCTGAGGATTCATTTGTGGTCCCCTAAAAAACCCTCAGTCCTTCTCTACTCATCCCTCTCCAGTTTAAGCCTGACTTAATAAATGTGCAGTTTGATTTCCTCTTTGCAAATGAAACACTCTGTGGCCGCTTTTATCTCTTATCTGCATGCGCTCTCCAATTTCTTAAGGTCATTCTGAACCCTGACCCTGTTCTCCCAAGTGCCTGCAACCCCTCCCAACCTGATGTCATCCGAGAGTGTTATAAACATACTTCCATCTTCCAAACCATGCCTGAAAATACTGAAAGTTTTCCCCAAGAAAGTGACCTTGCTGATATATCAGATGTTTCTGCACTACTTGCATCAGTGGAGAGATAAAAGTGCAAATCGTTTCAAGTTTCCTTCTCTGTAAAGGTATTTAGAAATGCCATGTTTAGCTGGTAAGCTGCAACTTGTGGCAATACATTAATTAAAAACTAATTCATGTGGTAAAGGTAGGATGCATTAAATTCAATAGGAACTAACTAATGAGGTTAATAAATACAACAAGAAGGCTATTTCCCACTGAACTCTCTTTCTGGGGTCAGCCAGCTACAATTTGTCAGTCACAGGCTTAGACAACCGAAGCTGCCGGACGAACCCAGCAGCACAACCTTATCCATCCTGCCACATGAAGACGAGAATCCAGCAAATAATGAATCATAACTGATTTCTGGGATCAACATGAGAAGTACATCAGGGTACTGCTCATTTCACACTGTCACTTTACTTTCATAATGCTGGAGCCACCAGGCACCATTTCTAAATGGCTTTAATATCACAGTATGCAGAAGCCAAACCAGAATCGGAAGTTACTCAATTAATAAATGCAAAAGTCTAATGTTAACAGATCACACCAAGTTATTGCCCCTGCTCTACTCGAGATCTCCAGTCAAAGCAGGAAGATAAGGACCAGGGGAGTTCCGGCAGAATAAGTACCCACTGCTCAACATGACAGGAGCTTGGAAAATCCTGGTTACAGAATATCTATAGCTGAACAAACACAACCTCTTAGAAAACATTCTGGACAGTTAAACAGATACTTTCAAACCCCGTTTTGATTGGGGAAAAAACCATTTTCCTACTGTTTTCAGTGCTTATAACCCTACAAACCATTATTTTCCTAAACATTTTTCAGCTGCAGCTTTTCTATGACATGAGCCTCACCCAGGCAAAGTCTGAAACAACTACAGAGGAAAGCGTGTACAATCCAATACATGTAATGCTGGCGTCATGAATCCAGCTAATTCTCAGCCTTTAGAAGCCAACTCATGAGAAGTCATTTTCCCCCTTTCCAGTGTGCTCAAGCTTACTGTCATCCAGCCTGACTGCACTACACAAGAAGAGGCACTTTTTGGGCTCCAAAGCATGTTTTTACGTCCGTGTATATAAACAGCTTTCCACAATGCTTATTTATAAATATGGACAACACTGTGCAAAATCCTCATCCATAAACCAGGAGTTAATGCAGTTCCCCAGGCCTAAAGTTGCTGACAGCACCCATGAGACTGCTGAATCCCTGCAGCTCCTGACCAGGTGTAAGCAACAACAGTTCTATTTGCACCCAGCTGAGAAAACCACTTTTACTAACCACAAAATGGCTCCATAATGAGAAGGCAATGAGCACCTGAAAGACTTCTGGCTACAGAAAGAGCCAGCACTAAATAAAGCAGAGACAGGACGTGGCAAGAGATGTGCACTTTGCAATAGCTTTCAGCAGGCAGCTCCCTGCCCAACCTACACGTGTGAATTAAGCTCTATTTATAAGTCTTCCACTGATATATACTTTTTTTAAGTGACCTTAATATAGTGCAGTTGTTATTTTGTTTCTGTTGAACTTAGCAACAGGAAACCCTGTCAGTCCTGCAGCAAACTTTCCATTCCCCTGGCACTCCCATTCCTGCACCAGAAAAGCCAGATTTCTAAAGAGGTGGTTGATGGGACAGGAGGGAGAGGAAGAGAGAAGAAAGCACATACACACACACAAAATCAAAATGCCTGTAAAACATGCAAAATGGAAACTAAATTCTATATTTCTTGTCTTTTTTCCCCGTTTGAAAGGAAAAGGAAGTGCCTCAATTTGCATTCTCTAAAGATATCTTACTTTACTACCACATACGTAAGTATTAGTCATGAAATTATCTTTATTAAAGGGTTAGTAAAAAAAAAAATCATCAGCATCTTTAGACTCATGCACTCCAGTAATGAAAGACCTACTTATCAGGCAGAAGCTTTAGCTTAGAAAGTTACTTGCTCTAGTCACTGGCTAACTCACCGAGCAAACAGCTACAGAAATGAAGCCTTAACTTGTTAAAAACATAATAAACCTGATTTTATTACAAGCTTTGGCAAGACAGTTCTGCCACCTAAAGAGCTTTACTGTGGGATGAGCAAAGTTTTTGGTGCTCCACCCTGCAATGTTAGCTCATCCCCGCAGTATTTTCTCTTTTAACAGCTTCATAATGGTACGCTAACACACAAACACAGCTGCTCGGCAGCAACGTGCACTGACAACTTAGCATTTATAAAACACTTTCTTCTTTAGGAACAACTATATATAAGCACCAGAGCAAATGCAAATCCAGCTCGGAAAGGTAAGACAAAACCCCCCAGCTCTTGATAAAGAAGAGCATGTATTAGGGGTGCTTTAAAGCAAAATTATGTTCCTCTCAACGCAAATATTCACATTTTTTTTTATCACAGATATTCCTTAAATATGGCAAAGCACAGGTAATAAACAGAAAACACCACCAACTGATTTTTGATCCCTGGCATGACCTTTTTATACTGTTTCACCAACATGAGGAATACAGGGTGTCCCCCCACATTTAATCCCTCTACGTCTTCCCATTATTAATTTTTCTTCCAGCAAAGGCACTAATGCTCTCAGCCAGTGATGCCTTTAGACCTCGGGGTCTGTGCACACACAAACACTCATCACAGCCACAGAAGGGCAATACATGGAAAGGGATGGAGACACTTGCCAGGACCACGCAGGCAGCAGCCGGATGTGGGGACCTTGAAGGCGCAGCCACACAGCATCTTTAACACCAAGCACATTACAGGGCATGTATGTATTCTGTCAAATGCTATACAAACCTTGGTACAACCCTGCCTCAGGAGGAACCTCTTGGGTCAATCTCTCTGTCACCAACCGAGACAAACGCGACTTAATCAAGTGGTTGAAAAACGCAAGGTCTAAAAAAGCCCAGGCTATTTTTAAAAGGCTAAAACAACATCACGGTGATGGGTGCTGCTCAGCTTTGCAAAGGCTACAGAAAGGAAACAGGTTATGAAGCCAGCCACAGCAGTGGTGGCAGTTCTTTAAAGAGGATGGAAAAAGGCAAGGTGACACGTAACACATCAGTGGCACTCACCGCTGCCTCACGGGCTGCACGCTCCTCGTGATCCTTCACAGAATCCACCTCGTCTTCAGTTTTCATCTCCAAGCTCCCTGTGAAAATAGAGGGTTTGCACAGGCAATTTAAAAACAAACTCCTTTCAGCACTGCTGATCTTCTTCTGTTTATTCAAACCAGTCTCAAAGAAAGAAAAAAGAAAACCCAACCCCAAAACCCCTTCAACAAGTCCATCTGACTTCCAACATCTGGTTTCATTCCTGACTTTGCTGCTTGTTTGTTATTAGTTTTAACAACTATCGTGTCTGGGACTGAAGGAAACTATGAAACAGCAGCAAGCACAGGGCAAAACTCCTGAAAACCTCTAGGTGAGGCTGAGCACATCTGCATGTATTTGCCCATGTATTTTCTTGGCTCCCATTCATCCAGTTAAAGAACCAAAATGTTTGCTGTTTTTCTTCTTACCATAACCCAAAGTTAATGCAAGAAACCAGTCCTGCCTTCGCTCAATGAGTATCTGAAATGTTGGAAGAAAAATTAAACCACAAGCTTCTAAAATTCACCTGCACTGCCTCAAGGATCGCTGTTAGGTCCAGGGACTAGGAAGTCCCAGCTCATTTTCTCCTTCCTGATGGTGTCACTACAACAGTGGTACAAACATCATGTCCCAGCTGCTTTCTCTGCCCAAAGCCTTCCTTAGTCACCATTCCCCTGGGGTCCTCTTCTGTGTACCTTTTCCTGCATGAAGTCAATGAGCTAATGCTCTTTCAACCCTAAGTTAATGACTCTCACAACACGAAGGATACTTTTAGAGGAGTGAAGTGAGTTGACCAAAGCCACGCAGATGGAGAGTGGCTGTGTTAGGGTTAAGCCCCTCTCTAATCCTGCTCCCTCTCTTGTTTCTACTAAAAACAAACACTGGTTGGATGACAACACCTTCTTATGGGCAATGTATGTTTACAGTGAGCTTACCCTTTCAGGGATTTAGCAAGGGAATCCTCCCAACTTCACAGGGAAATTGCTGTAACAACTGTCACCAATGGTTTTTGATTGGCATTAAAGTCTACTCTTGATTTTGGGACTACCTGGTTTTGCAATGCTCTATTGATAAACTAATCCAACATCATCAAGTCATGGTGTGATTTTGTCTCAATGAGATGAGCTTGGGGGCAGACTCCCAGAAATCAGCGGTTATGCTACAAATTTCTGTGCATCCCATTTGTTGACAAAGCAGAGAGATCATGGGCATGAGATTTGCTCAGGGTCACAGCAATGCTGTGATGGTTGAGATCTTGCTCCAAAGACCGAACATACAAGGAAGAAACCTCTGATGCACGTAAGACGGGAGAAGTGGTGTAGTGATACCCCAAGGCTGGGTAAGAACTGGAGCATGAAGACGTGTGTCCTTTGGGATGAAATCCAAAAGATTTTTTGCACTCTGTTACTTCTTCCTAAAGTTCTATTAAGAAACATACCTCAAATGAAAAGCACTATAATGCTATCACAGAGCATTATATCTCTGGGCGTGGAGCACGTTATTGCACATGTGATATTAGTGACATGCTACCGGTTCATCCTGCTACTCTAACAGGGGAAGGAAATTGCTTTTCCATAGGGAAAATGCCATTATGAGAATGAGGTGAAGACTGATAAAATTCAAAATAATATGCTATTATTCTATCTGGCAACGAACATTGTCTTTAAATGCTGAGATCTACGAGAGATACACTAGGGATATTTCTGCCAGGAGGAGAACTAGGGAGCAGTGATTACAGTATGTCTTTATTTAAGATGCCAAACCCCAACCATACAAACCTAACCTTGCTGGGGTCGCTTTCTCCCATGAAGCTGCATCTACTCCGAGGTGTTTTGTCAGCATTAAACGTATGCCATCTCTTCCCACCCAGCCTGCCTACTGTGGTATGATTTCATATCCTAACTGCCAGCTTTTTTAATGAGTAGCATTTATCTGCCTGACTTGCAAATAATGTGCTTGCAGAACCCATTACTCAGCAGTTCTGAGTCTAAAGCTAACAGCATGAGGAGCTGCCTTATGTAAGTAGGACCTTCCAGCTTCATTGCTTTCCTTCAGTGCTGTGACTGGGTATTTGTCTGGATAAGGAAACTAGTCCTTTGAAGTCTGTTTTGAGGGTGGGCTGAAACTAAGTGAAGGCAATGAGAGAAACAGGTACATATTTGCAAGCAACTTGACAATATAAATAAGAAATTCAAAAAAACCTCACTGATTCAGAGTAATGGCACTAGCAATTATCAGCCAGTTACATCTCTGATAAATCAGCATGACAATAGAACTTCTGACCATACATGTTCCTGAGAAGCAGCCTTCTGACCTACCCTTCCTTTGGGAAGGCTTTACTGTAGTCTACTGAAAAAAGATCTGATGCATTCTGAGCACTGACAACTCCTGCATGGCTACAAAACACCCTGCACAGACCCAGGCTGCAGGGAAAACTCCCCAGCATTGACACAGCAAGGAGTAACCTTACACAAAGTATTGCAGGCTGCCACTGAACTAGTATGCAAAATGCACTACCCAAAGCTTTGACATCAATATGAAGAATGGACACAGCAATAATATTAAGCAATAAATCTGCTCTCTTGAATTACTGCCATATCAAAGTTCTAGATGCTGCCTTATAGCAGGTGAATTTCAGAAACATTTCAAATAGTGAGCTTGGATTCATAGCAGTCACTTGTCTCTGCTTTAAGCTAGTATTTTATTTGGGCTTCCCTAACATTTTGCCTGAGAAGTTCTTTAAGAGAAGATATTCCAGCTGAAATTTTGCTTTGGGCAGCATCCCATTGCAAATAAACAACTCTTCCTTATGGAGAGGTCAGACTGTTATATTCCAAGACATTTCTACTTTAAATCAGTAACAGGATCACCTCCTTTCCCTCCCTTTTCCATGCCCTTAGTACTCCTCTCCTACTTCAGTCATTATCTTACTGGAATGTTTAGTCCTTTCTCCTTTTAAAACCTCACCTAGACAGCATCATGCCTCCAAGAATCCAGCCAGAGATACAGACCTGGATTGTATGGATGGAGCCAGCAGAGCGGGAGGCTCCCAGAAGAAAGGGGCCCTGCCAGGTTATTGACTGACAGCCACTCCCATCCCACTGAACTTCCAAACTGTCACAGCACTGAAGTAAGTTCTCTCTGAAAACAGCTTTCTAACCCACCTTTAAATCCTCCTACTTATTTATTAATCACCTCCTGAATAATGTTTGCTGGTGACCTCCGGACTATAAACTTCCTAAGAATCCCAAACTCAACACAAACAGATTTGCTGGACCCACCCTGCCACCCCAGTACAATGCTTTCCCCTGACCCCAGTTACTCTGCTATCACCTATAAGAACAAATCCTCTGCCATCACCCCATTCTGCATTTGGACTGAAGAAACAGCTCCCAGCACGAAAGCAGTGAAACAGCTTTACAGCTTTACAACCTCATGATTTGTATCAGCCTTTATTTTAATCGTTTAAATGTTGTTTGGTTGGGGCAGAGGAAGCAAGAGGCACTGAGTCATTTTCTCATAGCAAAGAAAAAAAATGAGAACTGAAAAAGTTCAGCTGCTTCCATTTAACAGCTGCCTGAACAGGTGGAATATAGAGATCAGATTAGACCCTCGCTTCAGCACCGAATTCACCTCTGATTTAATCCCAGGCTGGAGCAACAAACCCATTCCTCTTTAATTTATCCCTTTTTGCAGTTACCTGGTGACGTTTTCTACTAGCTCCTGTCGCACGAAGCGTCTACGCTGCCACCAGATCCCATCACGCATCCGTGGGGAACACCGGTCCCGCTTCCCAGCAGCGGGCAGAACTCATCCTCCGAGTTCCAGCACTGCTCTGAACGCAGCAGCAAACACCAGCGGCTGCTCTGCCCGACAAAAAAAGCCCCACAGGCCGGAAAAGGCGGCGGGGGGTAGGGCTGGCTGGTTGAAATGACCTAATGCTGCCGATTGGGAAGTGCCTTTGTGCAGTTCAGAAGGACACTGGCAGCTGCTTCAAGCAGACAAGCAAAGGAAAGGCGAGAGCGCCCCGTTGTACCCTCTGACTCCCCGTGAGCAAAAGGAAAGGGGAGAAGCAAAGGGATAAACTAAGCACATCAACCCTCACGCCTGCGTGAAAGTTTGTAACTTGAAGATACGATGATCCAAATAGGTCCCTCCCATTCATTCCTTCTCCAGGGAGGATTCACGTGCTAGAAATCCTACACAAATTCACAGGAGACGATGTCCTGTCCTTACCCCTAGTGCCAGCCAAGCAACATGAACAGGAAGTTTTAACTTCAGATTTCTTCCTTCTCAGAAGAAAAAACCCTAACACCTACACTTCCTCTGCAAGGCAGGCCTCCTGCTCTTGCTTCCCTTCCTTTGCTGCCGAAACACTAGAGGCACACCTACAAAGGGAAAACTAAAAAGCAGAAAGCCAACTGATTTCTCCTACCTGTAAGACGCTCATCTCGTTGCACCGTCAGGCTGACGTTCCTCTTCTTTGTTGAGGAACTTAAATCCATTTCTCCATTAAGGCTGGCTCCCACATCCACTGTAGCCTGGGGCTCAAGCCCTGCTTTTTCTGTGGCTGGTAATTCAGGGGAACAAGGTGTCTCTGCTGCAAAAACCACCGCATCAAAACTTTTCACCATTTTAGGAACTTTATCCAGAGACGAGCCACCATCTGCTGAAACCGAACTCTTCACTCCCACATTTTCCAGTGACTCAACAGCACGTAACTGGCATGAACACGGTGAGAAGGGCGATTCAGGTACAGGTTGGCTTTGCTCTGCATTGGGCTCAGCTGAGACTTCCCTTTGAGCTGCTTCTGCAGCGGGACCAGCATCAGTCTCACTGGCAGGACAAACAGTGTCGGTGCTGGAGTCACTGTCACACGTGGGCTCCTCCGCGATGGGCTGAAGCGCTGCCCGGGGAAGCACGCTTTCCTTATCCTCCTGCTCTTCTGGATACGCTGCAATAGGAGGTATTGTCACTGGCCTTAACACTTCCTTACCCTCACAGGCATCGCTTGGGGCTCCCACTTCCGAAGCATCCTTTAATTCGGGGGTGCCGCTGCACGGGGAGATTTGTTGTAGGGGATCATGTTCTTGGTTCAGCCCTGCATCTGGACCAGAGTTCCTCTCCACACCCGGTGACTCACCTGCTGATGCAGGTCCGTGCATGATGCCTTCTCCTGCACCCTCTGCCGCAGCCTTGCACACTTCTTCAGCGCAGAGTGCCCCTTTCAGCCCAGCATCCACATCACTGCTGCTTGTCACAGGCCCCCCCTGACTGCAGACAGAGGGTTTCACAACTGCAGCAAATTCCTCCGACAAAACCTGCTCCCTGCCACTTGCACAAGCCTCCTGCTTGGGCTCAGCTTTGCCTCCTTCAGCCTGCTGCGAGAGGCTCTGCTCTGGAGACCCCTCATCCCCTGCATGGTCCCCAGGCCAGCCAGCAACAGCAGCTACATTGCCATGCTCCCCACCGCGCTGCCAGGCCAGCTCTGCCGACCCTGCTGCTGCCGCCAGCACTTCCTGGTTTTGTTTAGGTTCTCCAATGTGAATTGCAGAGGGTGTGCCCACTGAATTATCCTCTGTAAAGTCTGCACCCTTGGCACACGGAGCTACTCCAGGGTCATTACCTTGCAAAGCTGCCTCCTGCCCGAGAGGTGCCAGTGCAGCATCTCCCTCCTGACTCACCGCGGGTCCCTCTCCTCTGGGTGATTCCACCTCGCCATTTAGCACTTCCTGCTCCAAAGCACTTTCTGCTGTCTCTGCTTCTGTTTGTGCAGGCTCTTTTTCTGCCAGGCATATGCTTGCACCCTCCGGAGGGAGCGATGCAGGCTCTGGTTTGCTCTCTTGAGCAGCATCCGCTTTGAAGCTGTCGCCCATTTCATCTTTAACAACAGTTTGATCAGCGCAAGGGCAAACACTAGCAACTACCTGACCTCTACCTGAAGAATCTGCGCTTCCTCCATCTCCACTGCTGCTATCAGTTCCTACTGGTTCCTCCTCTTGGGCTTCGCTACCCTCCATTGCTTCAGCCACACGTTCAGTGCTGTTACCGCTCTCCAGGCCACACGCAGGTTCTGCACTGCTTTCATTAAATCCACCAACATCGTCAGTTTCAGGTTTAGCATCAGGGCCATCCGTTTCCACACTGTCTCCCAGTGAGGGAAAGCTGGATTTCCTATCCATGCAACCTGCTTCCACCTGCCCTTCTTGCTCCCCACTCTTACCACTGCCATCAACTTCCAAACCAGGAGCAGGTTTTGATGCACATGTGGGAGTCTTTACCCCATTCACTGCTGGCAATGCTGTCCTGGCACTCATGATGACATCCTGCCTCGCTGCGACATGGGCATCACCTTGGCTTTCCAAGAAGCCACTGTTTAGTTGATCAGCGCATGAGTCTGCTCCAGGCTCCTTGTTATCACTAGTCTTGCACAGGTCAGCGGAGAGCTCGCCAGTGCCACCATCTGCATTCATACCATCACATGCCGGTACCACTCCTGCATCTTCATCCTCCCCATCTGCACGCTCAGTGCCATTAAAAACACTCAATAAGGGCCGAACAGAACTGGCTGACTCTTCCTGAGCTGGCAACTGTTGTTCTAGGTTTGCAGTCCTCCTTTCACCAGCCTCAGCCGTCCCATCCTCTACCTGCTGCTGTCCCACAGCCCTCTCAGCTGCCCCTGCACAGTTCCTGCACTCAGTTTGGCCCATAGCCACATCCACGCCCTCCAAGGAAGCTGGGGCTTCGCCTGCAGTTCCAACCACAGAAACAGTACTGTCAGCTGAATGCTCCTCAGCACCTTGTGCTTCCTGATGGGGACTGTCGCACAAGCCAGCTTGATCCAGAACAACTCCAGCAGATGTCATTCCAGCTTCCTCATTTGTATTTCCACAGGATGGGAGATTCACGGCACCGTTTACACTTGCGGACAGGCTCCCTGTGCAGTCCTTCTCATCCGATACAGTCCCAGAGCCTTCAGCAGAGGTCGGCCCCTCCTCTTCCTTTTTACTCAACGTCACGTTTTTACTTTCACAGAAGCACTCCGGGTTCTGCGCATCCCCCAGGCTCAGCAAGTCATTTGGCACATCATTAAAAGCTCCCAAACTCCTGCTGTTGCATTTCTCCTCCTGGTGGGTTTGGTCTGAGAGCTGCCCCATGTCCAGGTGAACAGGATCGGATGGACTTTCCTGCCTTCCTTCTCTTGCCATTTCTTCTAGGCTCTGAGTAGCAGCCATCGGGTGACCATCTGGCTCTGCTCCCTTAGCACAGCTGTCTCCAGAATCTCCCAGCACAGGCTCTGTCTGCTGCTTTAAACTCTGCAACAACACAAAGCCAAAACACAACCAGATCAGTTTGCTCTGTCACGCATTTACACTATCTCCACCATGTACAAGATCTATGTAATCCTACCCCATGCAACTCCTGCTGCCTCTGCTCTACCTGGTGCTGCCTGCGACAGAGTTGCAAACATACTGAAGTGAATATTTTATGTGTTGGTTTTGTTACGCTGTAATACTGAAATTCTTAGAATGAGAGAATGGAGAGCATCTGGAGGTCATCTAGTCCAGCCTCCTCCTGAAGCTGGACTACCGCCAATGCAATCAGGTCAACCAGGACTTTTATCTTGCCAAGTCCCCAAAATCTCCCATGATGGAGTACCAGCAGCACTCTGGGCAATCTGTTCCCATGCCACACCACCCTCCCATGGGGAAGTTGTTCCTACTGGCCAGCCTGAACACCCCGAAGCTGAAACTCATCCCTCTACCCTCATTACACCATCTGCCACCACTGAGAACTGTAATATTTGTAATTGCTCTTCGAGCAGCTGTAGTCGTATTTCTTGAGTGCACTTAAATTCAAGATCAGTAAACAGCAGAATTTAGTCTACCAAATAATGCAAATATATACCTGCCTAGTCCCAAAGGGCTTGTGCAAATGCTGCTTAAGAGCAACTGCAGATCCCTGCCCAATGGCACTCGACAGTTTTCATCAGTATTGCTCAATTTTCTCCTCATTGATGGAAACGCTACTTCAGACATGGGAATGGGCTGACGATATCCAAACAGGACTGAACAAACCATCTAATCTATTGCTGAGAATCACATGCTTAATTAAATATCTGAAATTTATTTCCTAAATGGAAATAAAAAATAGAAAATTCTGACATACTATTGAAATTATTACCTGCATTATCACAGAGCAGGAGCAACATATTTGATTCCTAATCTGCATGTTCCTTCCAGAGCGTGCTTCATCAAGGATCCCCCAAGCTTTTATAGTTTCACACAATCAAACCTTTACTTAAAGAAACCCCCATATGTTTCAATATCTCCTTTTTTATTCTCTCTTTTGCAGCATACCAATGTTCACATCTTAGAGGAAGTGACTACTTAAATTAAGGAGCAACCTCAATACGTCAATGCACACCCCGCAGAGCTCCCTTGATTTGCTTGGGGTTCTGCACTGTAAGATTGCAATGGTCACGCTCGTTTCCCACTAAGAGCCTGTGACTCCACAAATACAAAACCCCAATGAACTATTTCAGATCTGTAACTTTTTGCATCTATTTGTAAAAATACTCCCAAAACATATATGCAGCTTAGAAGCCTAACTTAGGTCCCTGCAAATTTTAAGACTCTAGTTCTCAGAGAAATAGAATTTCATACCAAAAATATCAGCTTAAACATCCCTTTCCTCCCCAAATTCTAAAATGGCCAATACATTAATTGATGCTCCACAGGGAACTTCTGGGTATTGCATATACAGATAGCGGCTAAAACCATCCCTGCTACATTGAGGATAATTGTGTTTACTCTTTCCATGCTGAGGTTTGCAAGTGATGAGCACCACAACTGAATCACTGACCACTAAACTTAATTCTGGTGTTTGCCATGAATCTATCATAATAATCCTGCTACCCAGCTCCCATTTATGCTGCCACCCAAGACAGGTTAGCATTGGAGGCAGGCAGCATAGTATCTCCATCCATCACACGGCACCAGAGGTGGGACGCAAGGCTCTGCGCGCAGCAGTACCCCACAGGCTGCTGCTGTTACTTGCAAGGGTAAACAAACAGGACCCAACAGTTTTCTGGCTGTCTGGTGGCAGCACAGCACAGAGACTGTGATGCTGGTTCCCAGCCAGGATGGACAGACACAGCGATGCTTGTTTGGGAGGGTCCATGGCAGCCCCAGCGTCCTCACTGTGAAATCACTCTGCCAAGAGCCTGAAACATAGAGCCGTCTCTAAAGGAAGCCAACCGGCTTTTAACTGACCTGAAATGAACCTAAATGAAATAATTATAAGGCTGCTTTCCAAATTCAAATCAGATTAGATGTGAAGCAAAACAGTGCTGGAAAGAAAAAGTCTTTTTCTGATTTCATTGTCAAGCAAAATGTACCCATCTGGCATTTGCACGAACAAACAAGCAGCGAGCTGCATGTGCCAGCCATGCTTTAGTGTCTTTTGATCGAAAGAGGAAATGATTTCATAGTTAGCTCGGGTTTGCAACTTAAGTCATTACTCCCGTTGAGATCAGGAGTAATTAACATCTCAGGTGCCCAGGGAAGGGTGAAAACAGCTCAGGGTGGCCCATACCTCTGAACATCACCCCCAGCCCACTGCCCGAAGACACCAATTCTCCCCTTCCCTATTTAAAGGAACAAAAATATCCTGCTATTTAGATCCCACACCTCTGTAACAGAGCTGATGAAGGAAGACCCACAGGGGATGCCAGCTGAGAAGACACAGGGGTGTTTCTGAGAGGGGGCACAGAGTGACTGCTGTTTCACCTTCTCATCCCAGCCAAGACCCTGTGGCATTGATTGTAAAGCTGTGAGAGGAAGCCCTTCCAAAGCCCCATGGTTCCTGTGGTTTGACTGCTGTGGGGTCTGAGAGGAGTACAAAGAGAGGACAACTATGGACACACACCTCATGTGGCCAGGGTAGGCTTGTCCTCTGAGTCCTACGCTGGGGTGCTAAGGAAATGGCTGTTTTCTCCATCACCTGCCCCAGAGACCTTCCCCTCCGAGACATACCCACTGTGCTCATCCCCCTCAAACCCAGCCTCACTCCTGAGCTTGCCTTACAATGACAGCTGCCAGACAGGCTGGAGGGACAGTGTGCCTTCAGAGAGGTCTCCCTGCTCACCCGAGTGGGTCCTAACCTAACGTAGAGGGCAGATGCTGGGAGCAGAGAGAGCCCATAAGGCTCCAGCAGAGCCAGCCATGCACAGCCCTGAGCCTGATTCTCTTCAGAAAGAGAAAACCCGGTGCCTAATATCAGATCTCCCCATGCTCCAATAAGAAGAAAATAGGCAGGTGTCCACCTGGATGTTTGACAGTGACATCCAGAGAAAACATCCAGGTAAATATGCCCCCATAGGGTGCCTACACATGAAGGCCTCCCCTGGTGCCAGGCTGCGACCAGCCAGCTCCATTTCTTTTTCATCACCTCACCCTGTTCCTTACCACGTGCTGGTGGCTCTGCATGTGCATCTGAAGGTGCCGTATGTCACTCTCCCAGTTGGCTGTTTCCCCTTCCTTGGCTTCAGCTGTCAGCATGTAAACATCAAGCCCACGGTGGTGCTTCACGCTGTAGTCCCCCGAGTGCACGGTGTGAGACAAGGTGCTCCAGGAGTCCGGTTCCCTGGCTTCCTCTCTGCAACAGAACAAGCAGAGGTTAATCTGCAGGCAAGGAGGGATGCTGCATTGCAGGACATGCTCACTGTTCTTCACTCCGGACAGTCATCTAATCAATGGCCCGAGGAGAACACAGCACCGGCTCCAGGGCCAGACAGACAAATAGACACGCACACTTCTTGGTCTTGAAAATTAATGTGATTTAGAGTTAATGCCAGCCACAAGCTTTATTTCACAAGGTCCTTCTCAGGTAAAGACCTTTCCCCACCCCCAGTCTATAAGAGACTAGTAGCAAAGGGCACAACAATTGCTTATTAAATCAAATGTATTGCAGGTAAAGATCACCAAAGCAGCTGTTGCAGAACAATAGATACCTGAAAGAGAACTGCAGAGGGACAAGTTAGAAGGAATGAGGATAGTCGTGATGCAGATGCTACAAGTTCTACACCTAAACCAGCATGCTGCTTCACAAACACCCAACAGCCATCAAATCACAGCGATTCTTTCACTCCTGAAATTAATTCAGCCTGCTTTGTGAAACTGCTTCTGTGCAAGAAGGTCTCAATATTGTGAGGCAGTTGTCCTGCAGCACTATCAAGCATTTTCATATTACCAATCAAAAGGAAAGAAAGGAAAAAAAGATGCTATTATAGGTCAGAATGAAAAAACAACTCAGCAGTTACCTGCATTCAATAGAAATTTCTATGCAATCATCTCTTTTTGAATGTCAACCTCTGATTTTGCACAAGCTTGTGACTCAAAGCAGTAATTCTTCAGGTCTCACCGAGCTGCACAGAGCTATGCTGCCCCTTTAAGGGGGTGAAGAAACACTTATCTTATTGAGGTGTTCATCTAAAGCTTCAGGTTTGCAAATTTCATTTTGAATCAGAACTGATTCAGGAAACCCAAAATCTGTTTTAATCAACCCAGGACAGCGCAGCTCACACAGCACCACATCAAGCCCTGCATCTCCCTGGAGAGATGCAGAGCCAAGCAGGAATGTTACCAGCATAAGGGATTA